TCTTACCAAAAGGAAATGAGCAGAAGAAATCAGTGCCACTCCTGGGCCTGAGTATTAAGAAACTGGGCATGCCTCCTCCTCCATGCTCCCTTTCCCTTTTCCATCAGATGAAACATGGACATGACAGCAACCCAGCTGATGACTGTATGCCCTAAAACATGGCAAAATAATACAATGGGAAAAACTTGTCCCTGGAGTGATGATGTGGATCAGTCTCATCGCCAAACTGGATAATTCACCTTGAAACTGTTAGGTTACCCTTAGTAGCTTAGCTTTATTCTAACTAGTACCTCAAGAAGTTTCTAAGCCAGTAAGTTAACCCAGTACTTTCCAGTATACTGTGACCTTCCAAATTCACTCATTTCTGAAGATTTCTTATGATGATTTACCACAACAGAGTTCATTCCTTAAAGATTTTAACACTCAACTGGTACCCTTTCTCTACCAACACTACTCTCATCCTAAATCTTAATGATCTGCACAACCACCCTCAATTCCTTGACTTTCTCACTTCCAATGGCCTCGTCCTTCAACCCTACTCAGCCAAATATTCTCACAGTCATACCACAGAATAGGGGTTCCCAAATGTTTTGGTCTCAGGACCCTTTTACACTCTTAAACATTGTTGAGGAGGTGGCCTGGGTGGCTCAGTGGGTTAAGCCTCTGCCTTCAGCTCAGGTCATGATCTCAGGGTCCTGGGATAGAGCCCCGTGTCGGGCTCTCTGCTCAGTAGGGAGCCTGCTTCCTCCTCTCTCTCTCTGCCTGCCTCTCTGCCTACTTGTGATCTCTGTCTGTCAAATAAATTTAAAAAAAAAAATTGTTGAGGATCTCAAAGAGCTTCTGATTATGTGAATTATCTCTGACACCATAATATAAAATAAAACTGAAAAGGTTTTTAAAATATTACTTCTTTTAAAAATAGTAACAAACCGGGGCACCTGGGTGGCTCAGTGGGTTGAAGCCTCTGCCTTCGGCTCAGGTCGTGATCCCAGGGTCCTGGGATCAAGCCCCGCATCGGGCTCTCTGCTCAGTGCGGAGCCTGTTTCCCCCTCTCTCTCTGCCTGCCTCTCTGCCTACTTGTGATCTGTCTGTCAAATAAATAAATATTAAAAAAAAAAAATAATAACAAACCCATTACATGTTAATGTAAATGACATATTTTAATGAAAAATAGCTAGTTTCCCCCAAAATAGCTGGATTCTCATTTCTGCTTCAACTTCCGTATTCAATAGGTTTAGATGAAGTATATGAAGAAACTTTGGACTCCCACAAATATATAGTTGGAAAAGGGAGGAGTATTTTAATAGACTTTACAGAGAATTATGGATACTCTTCTCTGATACTACACCAAAACTTGACAAGTCTTATAAATGATCAGTTGTAACATGGGCTCTGAAATTGTATCGATGAACTTTTCTCCCTCTGTTGCATCAAAATCCTCTGATCTATCCTGCACTTTGAATCAACCTTTTACCCACCCATTAGTCATTCGGAAAATATCAGTGCACTGAGTTCTACAGCTCTTCCAAATGTTCACACATTTTCCATGCAATATAAAAAAAATCATTATTTATTAACATCACTACCAATCTCATCAGCAAAGTCTTTAGGTATTGGGACACTTTTAAGCTCACAGAAACTCATACAAGTGTTTCAAAATTCTAATTTTTATGTGAAAGGTTGAATTTTACCACCGTCAATTGTTTTCCTTGTAATGACAGTTTCTTTTCAATGGTTCACTTTTCAAGAATGTGCCCACCAAATACTCAAGTCTAAATAACAAGATTTCAAGTAAAAACTGTTACATGAGAAACTAGTTCAGTTCACAATCCAACTGCATAAGAACTTTCCTCACAACAACCATCTAATTTTAGTACGCAGAAGTGCTTGATGAAATGCTTTACATTTCATCAAACATGTAAAAAGACGTATTTGAGAGCTGGGATTTTTACAAAATTAGTAAATTTATTGCTTTAGTTTTATCAATGACAGCCTTAAGTGAAACTTCTTTTTTAAACTATAGGTATAGTACAGGTCAGATGCCAGCAGTTTTAATAACTGCTTTTGCACACACTGAAAAAGACAAAATCTTAGTATTAGAAAGTAGTTTTGACCCCAAGGATCCCCTGAAAGTGCCTCAGGAATCACCGGGGGGGGGCGGGGGTGTCCATTCACCACACTTTGAGAACCATGCTCTAAAACAAGAACTAAATCTTGTTTATATTGTAAGTTCAAGTATGAAATCCTCTAACCACTACCCCCTCTCTTTCCAACTCACTTCAATGCTTCCCTTGCACATATTCTAATTCTTTCCTTCTCTCTTCCTCTACATACTCTCCTAACCAAAACCCCAAGTCTGGTTAAATCCAATTCTCTCCTATACAGGAATAGTCAGACATAGCTGAATAAGAATTTTCATACTTGTCTCATTTTTAATTCATGATCACTAATTAAAAAGTGAGTTTTGGGGTGCCTGGGTGGCTCAGTGGGTTAAAACCTCTGCCTTCGGCTCAGGTCATGATCCCAGGGTCCTGGCATCGAGCCCCGCATCAGGCTCTCCGTTCGGCGAGGAGTCTGCTTCCCCCTCTCTTTCTGCCTATCTCTCGGCCTACTTGTGATCTCTGTCAAATAAATAAATAAAAATCTTAAAAAAAAAAAAAAGTGGGTTATTATATTGCCCTAGTCGATTCCCTCATTTTTCTACAGTCTAGGACCTAAAATCTAAATGATTATTTCACATCTCCTCTCTTTAAACCTTTTCCTCCACCCTTATACTCTGGTCATTATCTTATTAAACAGAAATAATCAAAGAAAACATTTTCTCACAAACTCTATCAAGCTACTTGCAAATGTACCTAATACTCTATCTTCCTTTCTGTTATATATTTTTCTCTAAGGCCAACTCCTCCACTTCTACACCGGATCCCATCTTTTCTTCGATTACTTAAGAGCAGTAAATGCTTCTACAGTTTTTTCTTTCCCTCCTGCATTATAAAATGTTCTCACTTCATGGGACACCTGAGTGGCTCAGTCAGTTAAGTGCCTGTCTTCGGCTCAGACAATGATCCCAGGGTCCTCCAATGGAGTGCTGCAGAAGGCTCCTTGCTCAGCGGGAAGCTTCTTCCTCTGCCTGCACCTCCTCCTGCTTGTGCACTCGCACTCTCTCTTACAAATAAACAAAATCTTAAAAAAAAAAAAAAAAAAGTTCTCACTGGGTTATTTCCAATATGCGAACATGCTGTAATACCTCCAATTTTAAAGGGAAAAAAATCTCATGATCCCACATCTCTCAGCAACTAGACTTTTTTTTTTTTTTTTTTTTTTTTTTTCTCTCTTTTACAGCAGAACTCCACGAATTGTCTATGAAGGCTACTTCCAGTTCCACTACTCTAAATCTCTCTCAAATCCACTCCCATCAGGCTTTGTCCCAATCTCTCCACTGAAATGTCTCTTGTCAAGATCACCAGCGACCTCCTTGCCAAATTTAAAGGTCAATTTTCACTTCTTATCTTACTCAAACAGCAGCATTTGATTTAGTTGATTACTTCCTCCTTAAAACTCTTCATTTGGCTTCTGGTATTCAAGGAAGAAGGAGGGGGAAGGCAAAAAAGTATTTGATACTCGGGGTCAAATATCTCAGCACTATGAAACACAGACACATTTATGTGGTTTCCTGGGGGAAAGGGCCAACATGTTGAATTCAGCTCCTGTTATCGAGTTTCAAAGAGTAACAAAACGCATCAGTGGAAATGGAATCGTAAGGATAGCATTCAGCTTGCTTACACAACACCTGGGGAACCCCTAACTTTGAAAGAGCTTCACCCAGTGCAGCGGAGGAATGTTCACCAAGGCTGGCCTAAAAAGAAGGCTCTAAGTTGTCCTTACAGGCCTCATCCTTTTTTTTTTGTTTTTCTTTCTTTCTTTCTTTTTAAATGAAACAGGAACTTCTGTCACCCCTACTTCACAAATGGAGCACTTGCTCAAAAGCACTGACCTATCAAGGGTCAGAGCTAGATGTGGGGTAGGGCTGTGGGACTCCAAAGCTCAAACCCTCTAAGTAAAATCGTTAAATTGCTTCTTGCAGCAACAACAAAATCAGGAAACTTTAACTGAACGGGTGCCAAGTTACAATGCTCTAGATTGACTAGCAATTTTCCTCAAAGTGAACAGCAAAAATAACAATATATGCATGCTGGGCACTTTGCTACACATAATCTATCTAGTGGCAATTCCATGGCTGTCTTCCTAGTCCACAGAAACATTCTCCTGGCGGGCTTCGACATACTCACTGACTCTAAAATGCAGCTGGCGAGCTGTACAACTTACTCACTAAGGAGCTGAAATCCTATTCCGATTCTCCACTCACTTCTCCGTCGTTCCATTACTTCATCACACACCTGAAAGTCACCCTGGCCGAAAGCCAGCCCAGGCCCGGGGCTGCCTCAGTCTACTTACAGTAGCAAAACACTACAGAAACGCACTGATGAAGTGAGCGATGTGCAAGCCCACGTTCTTCCCCGAGCAGAAAGCTTTGCTCACGAAGTGTAAAGCAGGGGAAAAGGTGGGGGCCTGCGGTCGCCTTGCCAAAACATTCTCCACAGCAAGAACCCAACTCGAGGTGGAGAAGGTAGACGGACAAACAGCTTAGCCTCTAACTTAAGCCCAAGCCTAACCGCCTTGCCCATTCCGCTCCCTCCCCACCCGGTCCCGCGGAAGCTTGTAAGGGAAGAGCCCACTGAAGTCGTCACCTTCAGGAGACATCCTCTGTCATAGTGCTCGCAGCCCCGTCGCCCTTGCTTTGGGCCGCGGGCGCCATCTTCCCGCGCCGAGGCCGCCATCTCTGCCACCTCCCCTCAAACTCCGCGAACCCTTCCCGCAGGACGAAAACCACGCCCAGAGAAGTAGCGTCACTAGCACACCGCCCCCTACCGACCGCAGCGGCCAGCCGAGCCAATATGGCGGCCGAGCACGTGACGCGGGGCAGCCGGATTTCCGGTTCCCGGGACCACGGGGCGGAAGTGAAGGGAGGCGCAATCTTTGTCGTCGACGTTAGTCGCTGACTTCGCCGCTAACGGTAATAACTCTTAGGTTGCTTCTTTTCCCCCTCCCACCCTCCATCGCCACTCGCCCAAACCTTGGGCGTGGTTCGGGGCGAGGTGGACCGTAGCGGCGCGGAGACGCCCGGTGGCCCCCTGAAAAAGGGACGCTCTCCGGCCGCCTCCGCACCTGTGACAGGGCGGCCCCTCCCTTTCTCCCTGCGGCGGCCCGGAGCCTCGAGAAAGGGGCGGAGCTCCGCAGGCCCCTGGGCTCTGGGCGGGCACCTGCGCCGGCTGGCCCTGCTCGCTGGCCCTGCTCGCCGGCCCTCGACCTGTTGCTGCTTTTACTCGTCCTTCATTCCTTCAAACTATGCGTTGACGTTTACTGCTCACCAGTTACCAGTTAAGCATGGGGCCAAAAAGTGAGAAAAAACAAACGCCCCACCATGCCCTCCTGGAACTCACGGGCTGGTGAAGGAGAGAGACATCAATCAGAGAATCACTGTAGCAAGATTGCGACTTTAAGAAGTGCCGGGAAGAAGGGTTTGTTCGAGGAGAGCTAGTGCTAGATGGGCTCTGATTTCATCTGAGCGTCAAGGAAGGCTTCCCTGGGGAAGCAACACGAAGCCAAAAGATGAGGAGGAGTGAGTGAGTGTGCAAAGGCCTTGTGACCTGGTGCCTGCAAGAAGCCGCGAAAGGGAAATGTACAAGACCGCAGGATAGAGTTAGACCCCTCGGAGGGCGGAGTGCGATACGCTTTGCCTTATAAAGAGCCAAGCCCCTGGAAAATTTTTAAAGCTGCCAGAAAGTATTTGGCTTTGGCTTTCTAGCGAGATTTCACAGTACCTAACACATGCTGGGAAAAGTAAATATGTTGCCCTTAGCTTTGAAGTTACTAACTCTTACCGTTTTAATTTTCTTTCAGTTCTGTTATGAGTTGCTAAAATCATGGTGAAATGTTGCTCGGCCATTGGATGTGCTTCGCGCTGTTTGCCCAATTCCAAGTTAAAAGGACTGACATTTCACGTGTAAGATTTTGCTGTAGTTAAGCCAAGTACTTTGGACGGTTATAAAAAGCCAGTGACAGTTCCACTTAAATCTTCAGCTTTGATCTTTAGTTCCCAAATCTGTAAATCGCTTTTTTAGCTAAATTTGAAGTGACAGGGATCTGTTTACATTTTTATAATTTAGTTGAAAAGTTTAAGATACCTGCCAGGGTATCAGAGGCTAGTAAACAAAAATATCAAGCTCATTCTTGCTAATGTTATTACTTTGCATTTTAACATACCTTCAAAGAAATTCAGTTTTGTTTACATGGAGTTTACAGTCTGTAGGAAGAAAGGATCTTTGCCCAAATATGTCCTGTCCTTTCTGTTTAGAAATAGATCTAAAATATAAATTACAAGCTCAGACCAAGGGTTCTTTAGCAGTACTACAGATAAATCAAGATGATCCAGATTTTCTATTTTAAGCCATTCTTCTGACAGCAAAGGAAAGGAATAATAAGGTTTAACAATTATTCATTTGCTAAAGGTTTATTTTGCTGCTTTTGTGTGAGGCACTGTGCTACGTACTAGAGAAAGATCTGTTAACTACTATGCAAGGTATGAAGAAACAAAAAATGAGTATGTGTACCCTACGTTTTCTAAAAAAGATTTGAATCGGCCTGGAAAACTGAAAAGATACGGTTATTGATTTCCAGATCTCTCAAAATAGTTCTTATTTTTGGAATTCCAAACAGCAGCAGTTCGTTGCCTCGTTCACTAAGCGTTGATAGACCTGTTGTGTATTAAATGCTATACTAAACAACTTTCTGATGCTAACAGAAGAATGAAAATACAAGGTACTGTATTCATCTGGGATAAATTCTGGATATCACTTCACATGGGAAAAGGCACAAGTGATATTATCATGTATAGATAAAGAAAAACTTCCAGTCGTGGGTCTTCCCATATAAGACTGAAATATTCATTGAAACTTTTCTTCTTTATAATATGAAGAAAATTGAAATAGGGGCCATATGTCTGCAGCATGATTAATAGAAAAATCTATTAAAACTGAAAGTTCTGAAAGCATGATTCATAAGGGCTTCCTGAATATTCCATTTCTCAAGAATAATAACAAACTCTTCAATGAGCCAATTTAGTCACAGCCTTAATTCAAGTATCTATCAATAGTGTTCAATTTTAAAATCCTTGCTGTATTTTTTTTCTAGATTCCCCACAGATGAAAACGTCAAAAGAAAATGGGTATTAGCAATGAAAAGGTTTGATGTAAATGCTGCAGGCATTTGGGAGCCTAAAAAAGGAGATGTGTTGTGTTCAAGGCACTTTAAGAAGACAGATTTTGACAGAAGTGCTCCAAATATTAAACTGAAACCTGGAGTCATACCTTCTATCTTTGATTCCCCATCTCACTTACAGGTTTGTTTATGAGACACTGCTTACCATCATTACTCATTTTTTATGGTATTATTGAAGAACCTTTACCACTGAGGCTAAGATTTTTAATTGTTTGCTTGTTCATCTGAAGTCCATTTTTGAGTTTTTACTGCTTCAGCTTTTATAACATATAGCAGGAATATTTTACCAGTAGCCACTCAGAAATATTTGTATGTTCCTAAGATCTGGTGAAGGAGACTGACTTAGGAGTTAACATAATTCAGGATTTGTATCTAAACAATGGAGGAAAATAAGAGGGTTGAACTGAAATTCCAAGTTGCCAGTCCTCCTCACACTGGAGCAAAAGTCAAGAGCAGAGCCACTAACAGGACCAAAGTATACTTTTAGAGCGACATACATTCAAGCTTAAAGCCTAGGTAGAACTAAAAAGAAGAAGAGCAAAAGAGATGAGAACAGGAGAATGAAAGGAGAGAAAAGGTAAGAAAAAGAAAATAAAAGGATTGTATAAGTAAAATCTAGTTGAATTTTGTGTTTTTTCTCAGTGGTATTAGTGTTATAGATTGACTGCCTTGCCTTCAGTATCTCTCTTAATATGTGGTAAAGTGGTTCTAGAAACCATAGAGTAACTGATTCCAGCATAGAAAATTCAGGGAGAGCCTGTGGGTCCTGGAACAACAGTAATGAACTTCTATTGAAATTACCTCCTTCCCAACACATGGAAACAGGAAGTACAGATGGTCTTTGTCTACAATTTTTCCACTTTATGATGATGCAAAAGCAGTATCCATTCAGTAGAAACCATACTTTGAATTTTTAATTTTCATCTTTTTCCGGGCTAATGATATGCAGTATACACTACCATACTCCTATGATGCTGGGCAGGGGGAATGAGCTGCAGCCATGTGGCCACAAGGGTAAACAACCAATACACTAACAACTGTTCTGTACCCATACAACCAGTCTGTTTTCCAGTTTCAGTACAGTATTCAGTAATCACATGAGATATCAACACTTCATTATAAAATAGGCTTGGGACACCTAGGGGCTCAGTTGGTTAAGTGTCCAACTCTTCTGCTTGGGTCATGATCTCAGGGTCTTGAGATCGAGCCGTGTGTTAGACTCCATGCTGGGCGTGGAGCCTGCTTAAGAGTCTCCTCCTCCCTCTCCCCTTCCTCTCTGCTCTCACTCTTGCTCTCTCTCTCTAAAAAAAACATAAAATAAAAAAAGTCTTTTTGTTAGATCACTTTGCTCAACTGAAGGCTACTGTAAGTGTTGTGAGCATATGTTTATGGTAAGTGAGGCTAACTATTATATTCAGTAGGTTAGGTGTATCAAATGCCTTTTCAATTTACAATATTTTAAATTTCCATAACCCCATCATAAGCTAAGGAAGATCTGTAATGCACAAGTGTGCCTGCTCCTATATGGTGTTGACCACTATACCCGTCTTTACTGGGTCATCTTCCAGTGCCTGCATGATCAAGTAGAGACTGCCTCACTCTCTCCCGTGTTGACACCTGTACAATATCATGTGTACAATTTGTTGGCAAGGTTTTTCTTGCTTTTCTAGCTTTAATGTTGAGAATCTTAAGAAATGCATAATCAAATAAACCATAATACTAACTTCCAAAAACTATATCCTTATAACAAAGTTTTTCATTATGGGAAATTAAATTATGCAAGCAAAAAGACAATAGAAATTAACAATCATCGGGCACCCAACTGGCTTAGTTGGTAGAGCATGTGACTCTTAATCTCAGGGTCCTGAGTTCAAGGCCCATATTGGGCGTGGAACCTACTGTTTAAAAAAAAAAGTATAAAAAAATTAACAGTAGTCATATAATCCAGAGGGAATACTTTTAACACTTCAATGTGTATCTTTCCAGTCATTTGTTTATGTATGTTTGTATATAAATTCATCTATAGATATTCTTACAAAAATATAATTACACTATAGATTTGAACCTGGAACAACAGAGTTTGAATGCATGGGTCCCCTTATACACAGATTTTTTTTTCAATAAATACAGTACTATAAATGTATTTTTTTCTTCCTTAGGATTTTAATAACATTTTCTCTAGTTTACTTTATGGTAAGAATACAGGATAGAAGACATATGCAAAATATGTGTTAGGTATTTGTGTTGTCAGTAAGGCTTCCAGTCTACAAACTAGTAGGTAGTTAAGTTTTGGGAGAGTCAAAAGTTATACACGGATTTTCAACTATGCGGGGGAGTTGGTGCCCTTAACCCTGCATTGTTCGAGAATCAACTGTATATCCTTTTCTTAATTTGCTTCCATCTGTCTGTCTGTCTCTCTCTCTCTTTTTCTTCCCAGCATTTATATAGTGTTTACTATGTGCCAAGCACTATTCTAAGGACCTTATATGTAAACTCATTTAGTCCTCTTAACAACCATGTGAAATAAATACTATTATTATTCTCATTGTACTACTTGAAGAAACATAGGTCCAGAGAGCTGAAATACTTTACCCAGGGTTACACAGCTCAGCTATTAAATGGCAGAGGCTGGATTAGAACCAAGTCATTTTGGCTCCAGAGTCCACTGTGAACTACTGCTTTCCATGATACTAAATATTTTTCCATAACAGTGGCTTTCAAACTTTAGTCTACGTAAGAATTATCCAAGGAGCCTGTTTACAATGGGGAACCGGGGCATCTGCATGGCTCAGTCTACTGAGCAACCTACTCCTGGTTTTGGCTCAGGTCATGATCTCTGGGTCATGAGATCGGGCCCTGCGTAGGGCTCCATGCTCAGCAAAGAGTCTACTTGAAGATTCTCTCCCTCTGCCACTCCCCCTGCTCACACTCTCTCCCTCTAAAATACATAAATCTTTAAAAAATAAAGTGGACAATCCTGTTCCCCAGAGAATTTGATTCACTAAGTTTGGGCTAGAGTCCAGAAAGCTGCACATTTTAACAAGCATCCCACTCAATTGTGTTGCACATCTTCAGATGATAACTTTTAACAGAAACATATAGACCTCAGTTTTTTGTTTTGTTTTGTTTTGTTTTAAGATTTTATTTGTTTATTTAACAGAGATCACAAGTAGGCTGAGAGGCAGGCAGAGAGAAAGGGGGAAGCAGGCTCCCCAGGTGGGACTCGATCCCAGGACCCTGGGATCATGACCTGAGCTGAAGTCAGAGGCTTTAACCCACTGAGTCACCCAGGCACCCCTAGACATCAGTTTCTTAAACTGAACTTTATACTAAAATAGACATATGGAAAGTGCACCCATCATAAGTGTACCTAGCAATAAGTTGTCATAAAGTGAATTAAATCCCTTTAAACCAAGATACAGTAACCATCACCCCAGAAGCCTCCTTCGTGCTCTTTTCCAGTCACTATACCTCCAAAGGTAAATAGTATCCTGACTTTCATCACTGTCTGTTATATAAATAGAGTCAATATGTCCTCTGACTTCTTTAGCTCAACATTTTGTATGTATGATTCATCCATGTTTAGTATGTGATAGTAGTCCATTTATTTTTTTGCCATATAGTATTCTATTATCTAAATAAACTATAATTATGTCTTTCTACTGTTGATAAACATTTAGGTTGTTCTCACTTTAGGTCTGTTATGAATGATGCAGCTATGAGTGTTTTTGTCCATGCCCTTGGGTACATGTAGGTTCACATTTCTGCAAAGTGTACATACAATTTTCTTAGAAGTGCAACTGCTGGGTCCTAGGGATGTGTATGTTCAGCTCGAGCATATACTGCCATCGTTTTCCAAAGTGGTTTTGCCAATTTGTAGTCTCACCATCTGCATATAAATGTTCTCTGGTTCTATATCCCTGTCAGTACCTGGTGGTATCAGTTTTACGAAACATATTTAGTGACCATGTAGCAATTGATTTATGTGTGAACAATAGTTTACGGAACCAATTACTATTGTATATAGGTTATCATCACTTACTATTCTAAACAGTGCTGTGATAAACATTATTCTAGCCAAATCTTTGTACATATCCTTATTGTCTCAAACTAAATTCCCAGAAATAAAATTTTGCATCAAAGATTACACACATTTTTAAACACTTTGCTTTTGATACAGATCCCCACAGGCCCACCAGAAAGCTTGTACCAATCTATTCCCTAATTACCTTTGCATGAAAGTATCCATCCACCCTAGTCCTCAGAGTAAGTTGTGTTTTTAACCTTTGCTAAAATTGATTGGCAAAAATGACATTTTGTTGTAATTTATTTTTGGATATTGGTCTCTGCATTTATTAGACATTTCTATTTTTTATTTTGTGAGTTACTTATTGAGGACCTTTTCTATTTTCATCTTTTTCTAAATTACATGTAAAAAACTACATATTGAAGATATAGATTATTTAACTGACCTCTGAGTTGCAGTTACTTTTTGTTGTTTTTAGTACAATTATCAGGTTGGTTTGGGTTTTTTATTTTGTTTGAAATTCAGATGTCTCTTTTAAATAGTCAATTCTATATTTTCTATTGAATTATCAGCCTCTAGCCTTCCCCACCTTAAGATAATATAAATATTCCCTATTTTTTTCTACTGCCTAAGGATTTTCATTTTTACATAAATTTTCAGTGCTAGAATTTCAACATGACTTATTTTATATAAAGGATATAACTTTTTATTAATTAGTTCATTTTTACATGATTTAGAGCTTTTTTTTAGGTTTTTTTAAAGATTTTATTTATTTATTTGAGAGAGAAAGAGGGAGAACACAGAGAGTGAGAGGGAGAAGCAGACTCCCTGCCAAGCACAGAGCCCAATGTAGGGCTTGATCCCAGGATCCCGAGATCATGACGTGAACCAAAGGCAGATGCTTAAGCAATTGAGCCACCCAGGCACCCCGATAGCCTTTCTAAGCTTTTTTTTTTTTTTTTTTGAAGATTTTATTTGAGAAGAGAAAGAGAATGGGTGCACATGCACACGCATGAGAGGTGGGGGGAAGGGCAGAGAGAGAGAGAAGCAGACTCCCTGCTGAGCACAGAGCCAGAGGCTCTCAACCTCACAACCTCTGAGATCATGACCTGAGCTAAAACCAAAAGTTGGATGCTTAACCAACTGAGCCACCCAGGTGCCCCAGGTTTTCTCCACTTATTTAGACTGCCTTCTTTTTCCTAAAACCTTTTACCCACCTGATCTATTTCTAGATTTTTCTGTCTCATCTTTGAGAGAGTAGCACACTATATTAACTGTTATTAATGAGTAATATATCTTTAAGAAGTGATAGGACATATTCTTTCTCAACAGCACTCTTATTTTTTTAGGAAAATTTGTTTCTAGATGAACTTTAGGGTTATTTTCAGGAAGTTCCTTTGAACTAATCCCAGAGATTAAACTCATACTTTGTTGCTGTGTTATATGTAGACCAGTATTGCCTGTAAAAAGATTTTATATATATTTTTAAAAGGCAGTATTGGTCTATGCACTACAGAATACCATATAATACATCCTAGTTCATATGCTAGAATACCAGCTCTAATCTCCTAGTGGCCTATAAGAAGAATAGAATACATTGGGTCACCGGGATTGCACTGTCAATATGTTTTCTTAAAATTCATGCTCTCTGTTAAGGAGAAGCAAAACTTTTTTCAGCAATAGCTATGAAAAGAATGTTTCTCTTGAGACCTCTTAAAGGAGACATTGCCTGACTTAGTGGACAAGACTTCAGTAACATCCTTAAAGCAAACATGAGAGCCATTTCATATTAAAAATGCTGTCTTTTTTATAAGCTGAGTGCATACTATCAGAAAACAATTTAAAATAAAATTTGAGAGTGAACTTAAACACTTAAGACCAAATCTGCCTCTCCGTGACCTGCCTCTCTCTTGACCTGGGGCTGGGGATGGGGAGAGGGGTTATCTAGGTTATTTGGAGGATTGTATGAATGGCAAATTATTTTTTAATAAACAGTAGTTTGTATTTTTGAAAAAAACTAATCTCAAAGGAATTTAAAATTTACTGAGTTTTCCAAGCAGTTTCCATGAAAAGAAATATTGTATTCCACTACACAAAGTTAAGAAGGAATAAAAATTTTAAAAAGGACAGAAGTATCTACAATGATTTTTATTAACTCTACTTAACAGGAGAAAAGAGAAAAACTTCATTGTAGAAAAAACTTCACCCTCAAAACCCTTCCAGTCACAAACCACAATCACCAGCTTGTTGGTGCTTCCTCATGTACTGAAGAATTCCAATCCCAGTTCATTTTTGTAAGTAAAATTACTTACTGACCTAATGCTGATATTTTTAATATGTCTTCTCCATTAGGATTAGAGTAGAAATGTAGGTGTTTGAGATATAGATATAAATACAGATATTATGTCCAAAAATAATGCTTCCCAGGGCCATTATAATTTTTATATATGTAGTAATAATATAGAAGTAGTTAATCCTTTGGTTACACGTTAGTTGAAAGAATGCCTTCACAGAGCTTTATTTACCAAGAAAAACGCAATAATTAATTTCTCCCTTTAGGTACTCTACCTTCTAAATGGAAATATCTAATGACCTCTTTAGGTTTTCTTAGAACAGTCATACATATACAGAGTTTTCAGGCTTGCATTACTATTCATCTCATTGAGTATTCATGTTAGAGCCAGACCTAGAGCCCATATCTGTAACTTTATAATTCTTGAAATCAGGCAGTGTTTGTCTTCCAACTTTGTTATTTTTTCAAAGTTGTTTTGAATATTCTGGATCTTTTGCATTTTCATGTGAATTTTAAAATCGTTTTGTAACGAGTGCTACAAAAATTTCTGCTGGAATTTTAACTGGGATTCCATTTGGAAAGAATTGACATCTTAATGAAACTATTTTAAGTCCTTGAATCTGTGAACTCATTGTATCTCTACAGTTATTTAGGTCTTTAACTTCTCTCTGCAATATTTTATAGTTTTCTACATACCCATCTTTCACTTTATCAGATTTATCCCTAATGTTGTATGCAGTTGGATGCTATTATAAATGGTGTTTTGTTTTGTTTTTACTGATAGTATATGGTAGTTGATTTTTGCATGTGGATCTTCTATTTGGCAAACTTGCTAAACTCATATATTAATTATAAAAGCTTTTTTATAGAGGCTGTTAGATTTTCTACATAATCATCTTGTCTGTCATTGAAGTTTTAATTCTTCCTTTCCAAAACAGTGGTCTTTTCTTTTTCTTGCTTTATTGCACTGCTTTGAACTTCCAGAGCTATGCCGAATAGAAGTATTGAGAGCTATTCTCCAGGCTTTGCCCCTGATTTTAGAAGGCAGGCATTCAGTCTTTTGCCACTAAATATGATGTTAACTGTAGGTTTTTTATAAATGCCTTTTATCAGGCTGAGGAAGTGCCTTTCTATTCCTAGTTTGGTGAGAATTTTTATCAGAAGTGAATATTAGTTTTGTCAAATGCTTTTTCTATATCTATTTAGATTATGTAGCTTTCTTTTGTAGTTTTTTAATATGATTAGTTATATCAATTCATGTTTGAATATCAAACCAGCCTCAGAATAAACCTTACCTCATGGTGTGTTACTACTGGTATATATTGTTGGATTAGATTTATTAAAATTTTGTTCAGAATCTTTCCGTGTATGTATAGTCGGGATATTGGCCTGTAGTTTTCTTTCTATGTAATGTCTTTGTCTAGTTTTAGAATCATAATAATGCTGACCTCAGTGAATAAGTTAGAAAATAGTGCCTGCTTTTTTTATTTTTCTAGATGATTTGGTATAGATTTGTTATTATTTCTTCCATAAGTATTTGATAGAATACCCTAGTAAAACTATCTGGGCCTGAAGTGGGAAAAATTTTTTGGTAGCTTGTGTCTTCCAAGGGCTTTGTCCATTTTATCTCAGTTGTCGTTTATTATTTTAAAATTGTTCATAATATTTGCTTATTATCCTTTTATCATATGTAGAATCTGTAGTGATATTATCTGTCCCATTTCTGATATTGGCAATTTGTTTCTGTTCTCTTTTATTGCTGATCAGTCTGCCTAGAGATTTATCAGTTTTATTGTCCTGGGGCACCTGGGTGACTCAGTCAGTTAAGCATCTGCCTTTGGTTCAGGTCATGATCCCAGGGTCCTGGGATCAAAGCCCACATCCATCAGGCTCCCTGCTTAGCGGGAAACCTGCTTCTTCCTCTCCCACTCCCACTGCTTGTATTCCCTCTCTCAATGTCTCTCTCTCTGTCAAATAAATAAATAAAAATCTTTAAAAATAAAATCTTTTTTATTGATCTTATCAAAGAACTAGGTTTCATTAATATTCTTGCTTTTTTGTTTTTGTTTTTTACTTCACTGATTTCCATTCATCTTTATTATTTTCTTTTTTCTACTTCCATAAAATTTGTTCATCTTTTTCTAGTTTCTTAAAATGAAAGTTAAGGTCATTGACTTGAGGCTTGTTTCTTTGTAATATAGGCATTTAGTGATATTAATTTCTTCCTAAGTATTGCTTTAGAAACCCTCCAGAAATTAAATGTGTTCATTTTCATTTAGTTCAGAATACTTCTAAATTCCATTTTGATTTGTTCTTTGACCCATGAATTATTTAGAGGTGTGTGCCATATGGTTTCCAAAAATTGGGGAATTTTCCACATATCTTTCTATTAATTTCTAATTTAATTCTATTCTAGTTAGAGAATATATGTTGTATGGCTTGAAATACTTTTGAATTTATTGAGACTTATATTCTAGAATATGGTCTAATGTTCTGTGTGCATTTGCAAAGAATGTACATTCTGCTGATGTTGGCCAAAATGTTTTAGAAATGTCCATTAAGTCAAACTGTTTATAGTGTTATTCAGAGTTTTCATCCCTACTAAACTTCTGTTTGTTCTGTTTTTGAGAGAGGAATGTAATCTTCTGGTAATGTTCTAATTCTCCTTGAAGTTGTCAGTTTTTACTTGTTATGTTTTATAGCACTGTTATTGGGTACTAAATATTTAGGATTATGATGTCTGGATAATTTAACCCCTTTGTTATTAGGAAATAACTTTCTTTATCCCTGATAATGTTCTTTTGCTCTGAAGTCTATTTTCTTTGATAGCAGTATACCCACTTTAGTTTTCTTTATCATCAGTGTTATATATTGGTATACAGATCGTTCCCAACTTTTGATGGTTCAACGCATGATTTTTCAACTTTACAATGATGCAAAATCAATAGACATTCAATAGAAACCATATTTCAAGGTTTTTTTTTTTCAATTTAACTAGATTGTATTTTAAAATGTCAGACAAGAAATATTCATAAACAATGAAAAGACAACTACTTGCCTCTTACAAAGCATACATTGATTCATATTATATCTTTAATAAACTATAAGCATTTTGATGTTAGGAATCATTTCATATGCAAATAAATAATTAAGTTCTTTTTAACTTAACTTGAATATTATTACCAGAAAAGGATTGTAAATAACTGTATTCTTTAGAAAATATATGTGAAAGATTATCTTATTTATTTCAAAATATAAATCTAAATTATGCAACAATTGAAACAAATTACACCATGATCCATTGTTGTAGTTAGTGAAATGACATTCTCTAGTGAATATGGGTCTCTCATATTGACAGTACACTTAATATTTCAAGTTTTTAATATTCATCTTTTTCTGGGCCAGCAATATGTGGTATATACTCATATGATGTTGGGCAATGGCAGCAAGTCACAGCTTCCGATCAGCTACATGATCACAGGGGTGAACAATCAATACACTTAGAACCATTCTGTGCCCATACAACCATTGTTTTTCACTTCCAATAACAGTATTCAGTAAGTTACATGAGATATTCAACACTTTATTATAAAATAGGCCTTGTGAAACCCATCATAAGTGGAGGTAGATCTGTATCTTTTTCTGCTCTTTTACTTTGAACCTATTTGGTGTGTTTGGACTGCATATTTTTTTAGGTAAGTTATATTTTTGGGTCTTGATTTTTTTTTTTTACTCTGATAACTTCAGCCTTTTACTTGGGTTATTTAGACCATTTACACCTAATGTGTTTATTGATATTATTTGGTTTAATTAAATCTGTTGTCTTATTTGTCTCTTACTTGTTCCATTTGCTCTTTGTTCCCATTTTCTTCTTTTTCAGCCTTTTTTTGGGTTAATTGAATTTTTTTGGTTCCATTTTATATTCTTTTTTTTTTTTTTTTTTCTCATTAGCTGTAACTTTTTGTTTTGTTTTAGTGGTTGCTTTTGAGTCTATAGCATTCATCTTTAAAATATCAAAGGCTATATCCAACTGATATTTCACTTAACACATATAATAAGAATCTTAAAATAGTCTACTTTCATTTCCCTTCTCCCAATTTTTGTGTTACTGCTATCATACATTTCACTTTTATATAGACTATAAACCCCACACTGCATTGTTCTAATTTTTGTCTTAACAATAAATTATCTTTTAAAGAGATATAAAATAATAAGAAAAAAATCTTATACCTTACCCATGTAGCAGCCATTGCCAGGGCTTTTCATTTCTATATTTCCCTGTGGTTCCATTCTGTCTGAAGGACTTTAACATTTGGTGATGAATTCTTTCAGCTTTTATATTTCTGAAAAAAAAAATCATTATTTAGTCTCTGTTTTTGAAAGATCTTTTCATTAGGTATAACTAGGTTGATAGTTTTGGAGATTCTTTTGTTTGTTTTTAGTTCTTCAGAGATGTTGCTCCACTGTATCCTCACAAGCTTTGTTTTTAATGCAAAATCTGTCATCTTTATCCTCTATATATCTAATGTTTCTTATTTTCTTTGCTTTTAAGGTTTTTTCTTTCCCAGTGGTTTGAATAATTTGATTATGATGTACCTTAGTTTAGTTTTCTTCATATTTCTCATGCTTGGGATGAGAAATGTGCTTGAGCTTCTTTATCTGTGGGTTTATAGTTTTCATCAAACTTGGAGAAATTTTGGCCAAGATTTCTTCAGATATTTCATTCTACCTCAACCTTTCTTTTTTCATTCCTTCAGGGATTCTGACTGCATGTATATTAGGCTATATGAGTCACACTACCACTTACTAATGCTGTCCTAATTTTTTTTTTTTTTTCTGGTTCTGTTTTTCAGTATTCCCTTTTCTCTCTGCAGTCTGTTCTGGATAGTTCATATTGCTGAATCCTCACCTTCACTAATCTGCCCTTTATTCCCTCCAATGTATTTTTCACCTCACACATTGTTGATTTTATCTCTAGATGTTCTATTTCATTCCTTTTTATATCTTTTGTGTCTCAAAAATAACTTTTTGAATATACAGAATACAATTTTAATAACTTTCTTAATTCCCTTATCTGCTAATTCCAACATTGTGGCAATTCTGGGTTAGTTTCCATTGACTGGTTTATTTCTTATTATGGCTCATGTTCTCCTATTTCTATGCATACCTGATAAATGTTGTGTGCTGCACATTGTGGATTTTACTTTGCTGGATGCTGGATATTTTTGTACCCTGTGTTCTTGAGCTTTGTTCTGGGATACCACAAAGTTACTTGTAAACAGTTTGATCTTCTCAGGTTTTGTTTGTTAGGCAGGACTAGAAGAGTGTTCCATCTAGGGCTATTTGTTCTCCACCACTGCGGCAAGACCCTTCTGTATACTCTACTCAGTGCCTCATGAATCCTGAAATTTTCTAATCTGGTAGGAGTGGGAATAGCGGCAATGCCCTCTGAACACAGGGTCCTTTTTGGTCATTTTTTCCTCATCCTTGAGCGGTTTTCTACCTGTGTGCACTGAATACTAGAAGGGGAGCCTGTAAGGATCTTCAGAGTTCCCTATCCTCACTAGCACTTTGTCCTGTGAATGGTAACCACTGTGGTCTTTCTGGATGCTTTGCAAATCTTCTCAGTCTACTGAGCTCCACAGCATTAACGCTCTCCCAAGGCAGTAAGCTTGGGCAGTCAGCCAGAGGGCTCACCTCTTAGTTTCCCATCCCTCCAGGATTGCTGCCTTCCTTGCCTGATGTCAGTTATTTTTGTAACATTTTTTATGCCTTTTAGCCATATGTGGGGTTTTTTAGATAGGAGTCAATCCAGTCTGTTATTTCATCTTGGCTAAAAGCAAAAGTCCTCTTTACTAATTTTAATATTAAATAAAAACTTTTCAAAATTATTTTATAGTGCCTTTTTAAGATATGTTAGTGTTACTTTCCCTATTTTCAAATGAAAAAAAAAGTATACCCAGCAAACATAAGCATAGCCATAATAAATATTGAGAGAGCCTAAATTCTCTCAAAACCCCAAACCAGAGTTCTCTCTAAATATATAACCCTCAGCCCGAGGACCTGCTCCAATGCTCCTTTTCTGTCATTTCCTTTAACATGAATATCAATATAAAATAAAATAGTTAAAAGTGTAAGAGTTGAAGATTTGTTGGTAGGTAAAACATAAACATAGCAGCACCACAGCTAGGGAACAAAAGCTGGGTAGTCATTACAAGTGTCATGTTCATAGCAGATACTTACCCCCAATGAGCAGTGCTTCCCCTCCATAGATTCTGTACCCCCATGTTACACCTAGCCTTAGATAAAGGAGGGCAGCTCTGGGCACCCAAAATACCGCTTCTACCCGCATCATCTTCTAGTGTTCTTTAAACCGCTAAGTATCACCAACTTAAAGATATCTAAGCATTGTAAATGGAAAACAGCTGAGACCTAGCTAAGCTTTTACGTAACTACTTGTCTCTCTGGTTTAATAACTTGGTGTTTATGTTTTTAGGAACATAGCTACAGTGTAATGGACAGTCCAAAGAAACTTAAGCATAAATTAGATCATGTGATCAGCGAGCTAGAGGATACCAAGAAAAGTCTGCGGAATGTTTTAGACCGAGAAAAACGTTTCCAAAAATCATTGAGGAAGACAATCAGGGAATTAAAAGATGAATGTCTCATCAGCCAAGAAACAGCAAATAGACTGGAAGCTTTCTGTTGGGAGTGTTGTCAGGAGAGCATAGAAAGAGACTATATTTCATGAAATAATTCCATGTTCTGTTCTAACTAAAATTAATATTGGTACAGCATTTTAGAAAATAGTTCTCATTTACCATCATTAAATATTATCCATTATTTAGAGTGCTTCTTTGGCTCTCCCATAGCATAATGCATTTAGTTGTTATCCAAAGGGTTTTTTTGAAGACGTACAGAAATGTGCACTAGTTATCATGTTTTTGTATGATTTGTGACAATTATGTTTTTATAGACCTAAACTAGTGCCAGGTCACTATCGTAAGATGTTAAGAGATCCACAAGTTTCCACAGGACTTAGGAAATTATATCAGATTAGCCACATTAAGCCATGGTTTTAGGAACTGGACTCTGCTTCAACAGCATCAGATTTTGGGCTTCAAAGGAGTACCTTGACTTATATATGCTTTATGGTAAGTACGTTGAATTACACTTTAAATGTATTTTACTATAAAGCAGAATTCATTTATAACACAAAGCTATCTTGGATCCAATCCAAGTTGCTTTTGTTATTAGTAATGCCAAAAGTTTTGTTTTGTTTTGTTTTGTTTTGTTTTGTTTTGTTTACATAGCATCCCATAATCCTGACCCTGAGAATAGCAATGGTACAGATCTGTTGGCTTTTAAAAAGTTGTTCAGAGACAGGTTGAGAAGACCTCTGACAAGGTCTCAGTTTTTCAGTATGGTACATCATTCCTCCCCTCTAAGGAGAACTTGATACAAATGTGCATAGGTTTAAAAAGAAAAAAAAAAAAGGTCCTAAATCTGATTTTTAAAGTTTGGTCGTGGACAGTTGTTCTGAACATTTTGTTTCATTATAAAGGAGTGTCTTCAAACTCTAGATGCTAGTACTACCTAGATATTTTTAATGCTCCTTTGTATTTTACAGAAAGTAACATTGCTGACATTTCTAAAATACAAAATATAGATGAAATCATTAAAAAATAATGACTGTGGCTCTTCCAGTTGCAACAGGATTTGGAGAAAGGGTTAGAATATTTTCCTGTAATTAGGCGAGTCTACTGTCCAAAGACTTTTATTGAAAGAAAGAAAGTAAAGCAGCAGCTATACTTTCTTTACTTTACTCTACTTTAGCAGTAGCTTCTTACTGACTATACAAAAGAAGAACCCTTAGCTATTTTTTTTTTTTTGATCCAAGTATCAGAAATTTAGCTTTCCTCCTAATTTCTTATTAAGAACAACTGAAATTAAGAGTCATAAATACTGTGGATTAGATTAAAAATTACCAGCCCAAAGCCAAATTCTACTTTGAAACACATGTACATATTCAAACCTCATTCAGATGTCTATGCTGTAGTAGTTAGAATTTGAGTATCATTTGTTTCATTGTGTTAACTAGAAATGAATTGCATTTTGTGCTGAAATGTTCATGGAAATTTTATTTGTGTTATATTAATATCAGTAAGGATATGGTCACTTGAATTTTCTCTGTAGTCAAGAATTTTCTGTGTGTTAATGCATGTTATATTTTTATGTAGGATTCCATCTAAATGGGAACCTTCCCACATTTCAGAGGTCAGCATTATGCTAAGAAGAAACACCAAGGTCTTATCTTTTTACTACCTAGAAAAAAATCTCATTAGCTCCCCATTATTTATTTTAGTTACTTAATTTTGAAGTCATAATGGACATTTGAAGGGGAAGTTTGGATATGATCTTAGATTTTATAGAGATACTGTGATAGAAATGGAGACTATTTTTGAGTATGAAAATTAAAGTCAGTGGACAGTGGAGAAAAGTAGGATCAATCCAAACGCATATGTCCAAATTTGGCTCTCTACCGGCTGCTCAGAATGACTCCAGCCTGGGAGACCTCTCCAAGAGTCAAAGCCCAATTTGTGCCTCAGTCACAGTCAATCACCACAGTCACTTTTACCACTTGTGTTCACAGTGAACTTGGCCCTTTTCTTCCTTGTCATTGGGCTTAGTATTTTACTGAGAGATAGGTAACTGAGAACAAAATCTCAGTATCATTAAGGACCCAGAGCTACCCATTTTTGCTCTTTATTCTTATGGAGAGATGATTACCAATAGAAATCTGACATAAGAAGTAGGGTTCTCCTCACCTGCCACCCCAAACAAATAGACACAGTAAATACCTCAGTCCTCTGTTCCAGATATTCCAGCCCAGATCAGGGAGAAACTGTCCCGTACAGAGCCAACCAGTCACCCCCATCCAGAGGGGCCTCAAGCAGCCAAGGCCAGCCCAAGGTTTCACTTCGCTTTAAAGCTTGGAGTAGCCTCTGGATCCTGGAACAAACCAATACACCAATTCAACCTCAGCACCAAACCAGGTACAAAGGACTTGACATGGCATTTTTCTCCATATCAAGTTCAAATCGCTGGAAATAGACTTTGGTTGCTAAAGATAATCAAAATTATACCACAGTCTTTGAGAAAAGATGAAATGTATTAAAATATATATTTAGTTTTTAAAAAGGGTAAAATATTACAGAAATAATTGAAGAGTGAAGAATCCATTATTCATTTGAAAAATAAAATATTTTCTCTGGTAATGTATCTGGTTTTTATACAGTTACTCAATAAAATGAGCAGAGAAAAATAAAGAGTATATGTACTGTGGTTTTGCTTTCATTTCTTCTGCATTTTTCCCTTCACCAATAACTCTGATATCATAGGGTCTGCTACATTAGATGACCCAAGTGGCAGACTGGCTTTTGCCAAAATTTGGATGTTTTCCTGCTTGGGTGTCACTCAAAACTGGCAGCCTTTCATGTCATTCAGTGTAACAGCTGAGAGGAGGAGTATTAAGTGTGAAATGGGCTTCCTTCTTCATAGTGGGAGATGCAGGTTGTAATAATTTGTCTTTTACTTCAGAGGGGATGTGCTAGCATGCCCCTGCTCCCTGGACACTCCTCCCCCCAAATTTTACTGATACGGTAGGCTCTGAGGGGCATGGGTTTTCTCCCACCCTCTAGAGCACATGTACAAATCACATCTTGCTCATGCCATTGGATTAACATAATCCATCAGTCTGGTGACCTAAGTGACTTTCTGTAGAATGTCTACCTGGTTTATGTCTCTTTTGATTATATTAATGGAAGCCAGAGAGTTACATGGCCTGTTGTTTCTTCCATGTGAGGGTGAACTGTTTGTGATCCTGTTTTAATAGGGATGGAAAAACATTGCCCACCGGACAGGTAGCCACATACCATGTACCCATAGCCATGTTAACCTGCTCCAGCAGAGATATCACATCTGGCACAGCATCTGTAGTCAGGGCTCCTCCTTCATTGAATTTGCCTTAGTCTGCTATCATCCTGCAGACTCTGTCTAAATTTTGTGGAATAAATAGAGCTCTCATGAAGACTACCACTGCTCCATCTGGTATGTAGGGCTGTGAAGGCGGCACCTTAGCCAACCCCACAGAAAAATCTGAAGCTGTGCTGGTGTGGAGAAGGAGTTGACACAGCAGATCTGAGACCGCTGTCCTTATAAAGGCCTGCCTACGGGGTTGGCTTTTGGCTGGCATTTGGTGACTTTGACTTTGAGAGGATTCCCACTCTTCAAACCTGAGACCACGACCTGATTCACGTGACCTCATTCACAGTGTGACTAAATTGTTGGTAGAAACACTATGGTTATACTGAACACCTGCTTTCCTTCAGGGAGTCTGGAATTTGGGAATGTGTCAAGCAAGGCCCTGCCTGTATGACCAGCCACCATTAAAACCTTAGACACTGAATCTTTAAGAGCTTCCCTGGTGGACCACATGTCATACCTGTTGTCCAATTCAGTGCTTGCTGAGGGCCTGATTCTGTGCCCAAAGAAAGAACTGCTCTATCCGTAGGAAGAGCAAAGGTATAATTGGCTCCTGCATAGGCGTAATGGGAATGTGATATACAGTAGTCTGAGAGGAGCCAGGTTCCAGCTCTGGGTGGGCATGAGCTGTCGGTACCCATTGCCTGCCTTCTGCATAAGCCTCATGGTCTTTCTTTCATATCACTGCCTCGTATTTCACCACAGTTCTAATAATTGTCACATCTCTCACCTTCCTCCCTGCTGTGCTGCTTCTGGTCATAGAATTGGGCCTGGCCCAAAGCCAGAGTGGGCAGAGACAGAAAAAGAAGAAAAGGTGTTAGATCAAGACCAGGAAATCCGGGAGCAGAAGAAATTACACTCTGTAATGGGAGAACCACGTGGGAACAAATAGCACCAGCACTAGCAGTTTAAGAGCCAGTGCTGAGAACTGAGCACATTCAGTAATTCTAGAGACTTTTCAAGTGCCACGAACTGTGTGTCAGGGACTGTGCTGGGCACTGGAGAATCAACAAAAGACCCAGTTCCCGTTCTAAAAAGGGTTACAGATAGTAACAAGTTCCAAACACCATAATTCAGGGACAGCAAGGAGTACATCCCAGGAGAAGAATGAGCTGTCTGATGCCTTTCCTACCCACTGTCTACTGCTTTTGGGCGCCACGCACATGCTCAGCTTCACAACATCTTACAGCGTCAGTCTAGGGGTCTCATTCATTCTCAGTCATCTAATATTTGTCTTTGGCACATAGAGAAGTTTATGGACTGATTCAAAGCAACAACCCATCGTATGCATGGCTTTTAAAGCCCCATACCCTATTGTGAAGGATACAAAAATGATAAGATGAAGATATTTACAGCCTACACACAAGTATCTAACAAATGCCAATGTGAAGTGGCAAAGAGAAGTAGCCAATGTGGCAGGACCGTGGCAATTAAACAAGATGGCAGGACTGGGAGACTAATGGAACCTCAAAGTTCCAAAATGGAACATCAGTGTGTCAGTGTGGGCATTTTTCAAGTTGTGTCCCAGGACCTGGATTCCTTTATTACTTTTTTTTCCTTAGATTTTATTTATTGTCAGAGACCAAGAGCACAAGCAGGGGGAGCAGCAGGCAGAGGGAGAATCAGGCTCCCCATTGAGCAGGGAGCCTGATGCTGGGCTCAATCCCAGGACCCCAGGATCATGATCTGAGCCAAAGGCAGATGCTTAACTGACTAAGACACCCAGACGTCCTGGACCTGGATTCCCTTCATACCTCCTCGGATATGAGAGCAGAAGACCAAACCATCTGGGAGAGAAGCAAACAGACCTAGGTTCAAGCCTACCGTTTTATTATGTGTAGGACCAAGTTACTGAGCCTCTCTGAGCATTTACAAAGTAGGAATACACCCAGTTGTGAGAATTGTATTTAATTGTGCGTAAAACATAAAACATACAATGAACTCTCATATATTGTTTTTCTTTCTTTAAACCCCATGCCAAAAGCATGGAAAAAGGAGATTTGAACAAGAAGAAGGGCTGAAGAAAGAGGGGAAATGCATTTCATAGTGAACAGAGGGTGGTGCAGGCAACGGTGGCCTTCAGGAAGCTTCACTCTTCCGGGTAGTTCCAAAGCAGCATGGAACGCTATCCCTCTGACAGAGAACACTGTCGTCATCATTCTCCTCTCCAACCTCCCACCTCAGCCCTGAAAAAGCTATTCAGTCCAGATTAGATACGTCTCATTTGTTCATTTGTTCATTCGTTTTCATAAAGCACCTTACGGCTGCTCGGCATGTGGTTCACAGACCAGTGTACCAAGTAAGGAGCTCACACCAGAATGGAGCCCAGCCATGACACGAAGCACAGTTTAGTTCAGTTAACGTTTCTTTTAAAGACTTTCATATATTTATTTGAGAGGAAGAGAGAGTACAGAGGGAGAAGCAGGCTCCCCACTGAACAGAGAGCCTGACGTGGGGCTCCATCCCAGGACCCTGAGACCATGACCTGAGCTGAAGGCAGAGTCTTAACCAAGGGAGCTGCCCAGACGCCCCTTCAGTTAACTTTTTTTCGCAGCAGGACGTTTTTCCATGAATGGAACAGCATTATGGTTTACATTCTGGTACAAGTACGTTATCTCATTCTAGACCAGTAAAAAAAGAGTTTGCACGTAGCTACTTTGAGCAGCACTGTCTCAGAGAAACAAGTCACCAGTCTTTGAACTGATCTTAGCTCCTTTGTGGTAGTCAGCAGCAGAGGAGTCCCGACAGATTTGGGTCAGAGAATAAAAACTTCCCAAATCCCTGTGGTGGAGCTTGTGCAGTTGAAAGCTATCACATCTGACGCAGCACATCTGGCCTCGTGTTGTCTCCAACAGAAGCGTTTCATTAAGCAAAGCTAGTCAAGTGTCCAGGCGGTGCACAATACTAACCACAAAGACCGATGATGAGCACCTTGTGGAGACGGGCATTCAGCTACAGACTTGCCGGCAGAGTGTGCTCACCAGACAACTTAAAATGAATGGTCCCAGTGCTTACAAAAGAGGTTGATTTTCTAATGGCCCAAAATGTTGCCAGGCTACACACAGTTGAAGGAAATTACTTCTGAAATCCTGAGGATTTCAACAAACGTTTTGGTTGCCGCTCTCACTATCACGCACTTGTAGGTGGGTCTTAAGAGTAGAGAACGTCTTACTGACAGGTACATTTCATCTTTCTCTGTCCATCAACATGATCTGGCCATATTTAGTCAAAAAGATGGGCAACAGTTTTAACTGGCAATAAAATAAGGCTATCCAAAGGTTCAAACTCACCAAGGCCCCACCGGGACTGGGAAATTTTAGAGTGAAATGAAAATGCGTTCTACAGTTTAAATCTAAAAATGGTTTCAGCCAGTCATTGTTCAATTGTGCCTTTTGGCAAAAAAGTTCCGCATGAGTCCAAACAGGGCTATGGAAAGACTGCAAGACCAAAAAAATGGAAAGCAATTCAAATTCTATCAAGTGATGATAAACTATGATGTACCCAGATAATGCAATAATAAGCAACAACTGAAAAGAAAGAGATCGATCTATATGTATTGGCATGGAAAGAAAAGGCATTTGATGTGATAAGAAATAATTAGGGGCACCTGAGCGGCTCAGTCAGTTAAGCATCCAGCTCTTGGTTTCACTTGAGGTCATGGTCTCAGGGTCCTGGGATGGAGCCCCTCGTGGGACTCTATGCTCAGCGTGGAGCCTGCTTGTCCCTCTTCCTCTCCCTCTGCTCCTCCTTGCACACACTCTCTTTCTATCTCTCTCAAATAAATATAAATAATCTTTTAAAAATATTTTAAAAATCTTTTTAAAAATATAAATAATCTTTTAAAAATAATCTTTAAAAATAAATAAATAAATGGTCTTTAAAATAAATAAAGAAATTTGGTAGCAACTCAAAATATCCCATTTATATAAAATTTTTAAAAATGCTTCAACAAGGGGTACCTGGGTGGCTCAGTGGGTTAAGCCTCTGCCTTGGGCTCAGGTCATGATCCTAGGGTCTTGAGATCAAGCCCCGCACTGGGCTCTCTGCTCAACAGGGAGGCTGATTCCCCCCACCCCCCACCTGCCTCTCTGCCTACTTGCGATCTCTCTCTCTCTCTCTCTCTGTGTGTGTGTTTAATAAATAAAATCTTTTAAAAAACAATGCTTCTACAAAACAGTTTCTAAGTGTGTGTGCAAACATACAGAAAAAG